TCCCAGTGGGTCAGAAGATTACATACACTCAATTAGTATTTGGCAGCATTGCCTTTAAATTGTTTAACTTGGGTCAAACGTTTCGGGAAGCATTCCACATGCTTCCCACAATAAGTTGGGTGAATTTTGGCCCATTCCTTCTGACAGAGCTGGTGTAACTGAGTCAGGTTTGTAGGCCTCCCCTTGCTTGCACACGCTTTTTAAGTTCTGCCCACAAATGTTCTATAGGATTGAGGTCAGGGCTTTGTAATGGCCACTCCAATACCTTGACTTTGTTGTCCTTAAGCCATTCTGCCACAACTTTGGAAGTATTCTTGGGGTCATTGTCCATTTGGAAGACCCATTTGCGACCAAGCTTTAACTTCCTGACTGATGTCTTGAGATGTTGCTTCAATATATCCACATTATTTTCCTTCCTCATGATGCCATCTATTTTGTGAAGTGCACCAGTCCCTCCTGCAGCAAAGCACACCCACAGCATGATGCTGACACCCCCGTGCTTCACGGTTGGGATGATGTTCTTCGGCTTGCAAGCAACCCCATTTTTCCTCCAAACATAACGATGGTCATTATGGCCAAACAGTTCTATTTTTGTTTCATCAGACCAGAGGACATTTCTCAAAAAAGTACGATCTTTGTCCCCATGTGCAGTTGCAAACCGTTGTCTGGGTTTTTTATGGCTGTTTTGGAGCAGTGGCTTTTTGTCTTTGTCTTTACATTTTTTGCAGACGCTCTTATCCAGAGCGACTTACAGGAGCAATTAGGGTTAAGTGCCTTGCTCAAGGACACATCGACAGATTTTCACCTAGTCGGCTCGGGGATTAGAACCAGCAACCTTTCGGTTACTGGCACAACGCTCTTAACCACTAAGCTACCTGCCGCCCCTGGCTTCTTCCTTGATGAGCGGCCTTTCAGGTTATGTGGATATAGGATTCGTTTTACTGTAGATATTGATACTTTTGTACCTGTTTCCTCCAGCATCTTCACATGGTCCTTTCGCACCAAAGGACATTCATTTCTAGGAGACAGAACGCGTCTCCTTCCTGAGCGGTACACCTCCAATTGACTCAAAATTGTATGGAATTTTCCAAGCTGTTTATAGGCACAGTCAACTAAGTGTATGTAAACTTCTGACCCACTGGAATTGTGATACAGTGAAATAATCTGTCTGTAAACAATTGTTGGAAAAATCACTTGTGTCATGCACAAAGTAGATGTCCTAACCGACTTGCCAAAACTATAGTTTGTTAACAAGAAATGTGTGGAGTGGTTGAAAAACTAGTTTTAATGACTCCAACCTAAGTGTATGTAAACTTCAACTGTATGTAAATGTGATATTTCAGTTATTGCTTTGTCATTGTAGATTGAAGAAAAAAAAAATATATATATTTCCATTTTAGAATCACGTAACAAAATGTGGGAAAAGTAAAGGGGTCTGAATACTTTCCGAATGCAATATATGTATAGTGTATATATAAAACACAGGAAATTCACGTTTGTGACTGCACTGGGTCTTGAAATGGAAGTTATAGTTCATTTTAATTGTATGGTTTTCACACGTTGCCATTCCAAATATGAATAGCCTGCGACGTGTTTGGCACAAGCTGCACATCTATAAATGATCGATTCTTCCATTCTCTAAAGTGGACTGAAGTCTGCAGAGTTCCTTTAACTTCATCCAGCCGCTTATTATTATTTATTTTTTTAGAGAGACACGACTTAACTGTAACTTCCGTTTAAGAACAAAACAAAACTCAACAGAGTTTGGAGTAGCATAAACGGTTTCTGTTGCAAAAGGTTTTGCAACAGAATTGGCGTAATGATGACACCCCTGGTTTCACTCAACACATAGGAACAGGAGTGTTTTTGAACGCCAGTGCTTATGTCCCGTGTATTTTCATTTCTCTACACCGCGCGAACGCTGGTTGATTAGGTAGGGATTTACTCTCTGGTTCTGTGTGTGTGTACACCACTGTACTGACCTCTCATTTTACTGCTTAACAACTGGACTACACACACCATGCTTGTGCGTTCAGCCTTACTCACGCACATGTAAGAAGTTTCACTCTTGCCCCACTCCACATGACCTGACTGAGAAACACTGGGCCCATTCAATCAAAACTATACTGAACAATAATATAAACACAACATGTAAACTGTTGGTTCCATGTTTTATGAGCTGAAATAAAAGATCCCAGAAATGTTCCATATGCACAAAAAGCGTATTTCTCTCAAATGTTGTGCACAAATGTGTTTAAATCCCTTTTAGTGAGCGTTTCTCCTTTACCAAGATAATCCATCCACCTGACAGTTGTGGCATATCATGAAGCTGATTAAACAGCATGATCATTAGATAGGTGCTTTGTGCTGGGGACAATAAAAGGCCACTCTAAAATGTGCAGTTTTGTCACACAACACAATGCCACAGGTGTCTCAAGTTTTGAGGGAGCGTGCAATTGGCACGCTGACTGCAGGAATGTCCAACAGAGCTGTTGCCACAGAATCGAATGTTCATTTCTCTACCATAAGCTGCTTCCAACGTCATTTTAGAGAATTTGGCAGTACATCCAACCGGCCTCACAACCGCAGACCAAGTGTAACCACGCCAGCCCAGGACCTCCACATCCGGCTTCTTCACCTGCGGGATCGTCTTGAGGAGGGGGGGGTGCTGAGGACTATTTCTGTCTGTAATAAAGCCCTTTTGTGATTAAACTAATTCTGATTAGCTGTGCCTGGCTCCCCATTGGGTGGGCCTGGCTCCCAAGTGGGTGGGCTTATGCCCTCCCAGGCCCACCCATGGCTGAGCCCCTGCCCAGTCATGTGAAATCCATAGATTAGGGCCTAATGAATTTATTTCAATTGACTGATTTCCTTCTATGAATTGTAACTCAGTAAAATCTTTGAAATTGTTGCCTGTGGCGTTTTATATTTTTGTTCAGTGTCCAGGTTAAACAACGTTCGGACTGTACTTTGAAAGAGCACGTCTTTTAGCTTACGCCTGAACCCCAAGATCTGTAGACTAGGCTGGTCAGTTTTACGACCTGGCTCATAGTTCGTAACAGCTACAGTGAAGGAAAAAAGTATTTGATCCCCTGCTGATTTTGTACATTTGCTCACTGATAAATATATTATCAGTCTATAATTTTAATGGTAGGTTTATTTGAACAGTGAGAGACAGAATAACAAGAACAAAAATCCAGAAAAACGCATGTCAAAAATGTTATAAATTGATTTGCATTTTAATGAGGGAAATAAGTATTTGACCCCCTCTCAATCAGAAAGATTTCTGGCTCCCAGGTGTCTTTTATACAGGTAACGAGCTGAGATTGGGAGCACACTCTTAAAGGGAGTGCTCCTAATCTCAGCTTGTTACCTGTATAAAAGACATCTGTCCACAGAAGCAATCAATCAATCAGATTCCAAACTCTCCACCATGGCCAAGACCAAAGAGCTCTCCAAGGATGTCAGGGACAAGATTGTAGACCTACACAAGGCTGGAATGGGCTACAAGACCATCGCCAAGCAGCTTGGTGAGAAGGTGACAACAGTTAGTGCGATTATTCGCAAATGGAAGAAACACAAAATAACTGTCAATATCCCTCGGCCTGGGGCTCCATGCAAGATCTCACCTCGTGGAGTTGCAATGATCATGAGAACGGTGAGGAATCAACCCAGAACTACATGGGAGGATCTTGTCAATGATCTCAAAGCAGCTGGGACCATAGTCACCAAGAAAACAATTGGTAACACACTACACCGTGAAGGACTGAAATCCTGCAGCGCCCGCAAGGTCCCCCTGCTCAAGAAAGCACCTATACATGCCCGTCTGAAGTTTGCCAATGAACATCTGAATGATTCAGAGGAGAACTGGGTGAATGTGTTGTGGTCAGATGAGACCAAAATCGATCTCTTTGGCATCAACTCAACTCGCCGTGTTTGGAGGAGGAGGAATGCTGCCTATGACCCCAAGAACACCATCTCCACCGTCAAACATGGAGGTGGAAACATTATGCTTTGGGGGTGTTTTTCTGCTAAGGGGACAGCACAACTTCACCGCATCAAAGGGACAATGGACGGGGCCATGTACCGTCAAATCTTGGGTGAGAACCTCCTTCTCTCAGCCAGGGCATTGAAAATGGGTCGTGGATGGGTATTCCAGCATGACAATGACCCAAAACACACGGCCAAGGCAACAAAGGAGTGGCTGAAGAAGAAGCACATTAAGGTCCTGGAGAGGCCTAGCCAGTCTCCAGACCTTAATCCCATAGAAAATCTGTGGAGGGAGCTGAAGGTTCGAGTTGCCAAACGTCAGCCTCGAAACCTTAATGACTTGGAGAAGATCTGCAAAGAGGAGTGGGACAAAATCCCTCCTGAGATGTGTGCAAAGCTGGTGGCCAACTACAAGAAACGTCTGACCTCTGTGATTGCCAACAAGGGTTTTGCCACTAAGTACTAAGTCATGTTTTGCAGAGGGGTCAAATACTTATTTCCCTCATTAAAATGCAAATCAATTTATAACATTTTTGACATGTGTTTTTCTGGATTTTTTTGTTGTTATTCTGTCTCTCACTGTTCAAATAAACCTACCATTAAAATTATAGACTGATCATTTCTTTGTCAGTGGGCAAACGTACAAAATCAGCAGGGGATCAAATACTTTTTTCCCTCACTGTAGCATGTCATGCAAATCGTTTAACAATGTAGGCTACTAGTTAGGTTTTCCAATCTGTTGCTCAGGATCCTTCAGCTGTTGCACATTTTTGTTTATTTTTGTAGCACACCTGGTTCAACCAAGAAAAGACATTGATGGTTAGTAGACTAGTTGAATCTTCTAGTGCTGAGACAGAACATAAATGTTTTATGTCTGGGGTTTTCCCAGAGGAATGGATTTTGAAACACCAAGTTGTTTGGCTGGCTGCTTTGATAATCACTAAACTCATCTTATGACCCACTTTGGTATGTTTCAGTGCTGATTGTCATACTGAGCCATAGCTGTAGCCATGGATGCCAAAGCTAATGACAGCACCTTCCCCAGTTTTGGAGACTTGGATGAGTTCCTCACCAAGCATGACTCCAATTTTGTGTGGCTCCTTGTGGGTAAGTGTTGAGGGAATTTTCTAGACTGGGGGGGGGGGGGGGGCAACACCTGAGTTAGAGGGAATGCAGACTGCATTGAATAAGCAATTTCTCACATTTGAGTTGATGAATGGGGAGCAATTAACTCTAAGTATACAGGTGTGACGCCTCATTTAACACATCATAACAATGATATGAGGAATAGTATAAACCATCTGCATTCGGAAAGTATTCAGACCGCTTGACTTTTTCCACATTTTGTTAAGTTACTGCCTTATTCCCTCATCAATCTACACAAAATACCCCATAATGACAAAGCAAAAACAGGTTTTTAGAAATGTCTGCAAATGTATAAAAAAAACCAGAAATATCAAAATTACATAGGTATTCAGACCCTTTACTCAGTACTTTGTTGAAGCACCTTTGGCAGCGATTACAGCCTCTAGTCTTCTTGGGTATGACACTACAAGCTTGGCACACTTGTATTTGGGGAGTTTTTCCAATTTTTCTCTGCAGATCCTCTCAAGCTATTTCAGGTTGGATGGGGAGCATCGCTGCACAGCTATTTCAGGTCTCTCCAGAGATGTTTGATCAGGTTCAAGTCCGGGCTCTGGCTGGGCCACTCAGGGACATTCAGAGACTTGTCCCGAAGCTACTCCTGTGTTGACTTGGCTGTGTGCTTAGGGTTGTTGTTCTGTTGGAAGGTGAACCTTCGCCCCAGTCTGATGTCCTGAGCGCTCTGGAGCAGGTTTTCATCAAGGATCTCTCTGTACTTCGTTCATTTTTCCATCGATCCTGACTAGTCTCCCAGTCCCTGCCACTGAAAACCACAGCATGATGCTGCCACCACCATACTTCACCGTAGTGATGGTGCCAGGTTTCCTCCAGACGTGACGCTTGGCATTCAGGCCATTGAGTTCAGTCTTGGTTTCATCAGACCAGATAATCTTGTTTCTCATGGTCTGAGAGTCCTTTAGGTGCCTTTTGGCAAACTCTAAGCGGGCTGTCGTGCTTTTTACGGAGTAGTGTCTTCCGTCTGGCCACTCTACCATAAAGCCCTGATTGGTGGAGTGCTGCAGAGATGGTTGTCCTTCAGGAAAGTTCTCCCATCTCCACAGAGAAACTCTGGAGCTCTGTCAGAGTGAACATTGGGTTCTTGGTCACCTCCCTGACCAAGGCCCTTCTCCCCTTATTGCTCAGTTTGGCCGGGCGGCCAGCTCTAGGACGAGTCTTGGTGGTTCCAAACTTCTTCCATTTAAGAATGATGGAGGCCACTGTGTCCTTGGGGAACTTCAATGCTGCAGAAATGTTTTGGTACCCTTCCCCAGATCTGTGCCTCCACACAATCCTGTCTCGGAGCTCTACTGACAATTCCTTCGACCTCGTGGCTTGGTTTCTGCTCTGACATGCACTGTCAACTGTGGGACCTTATATAGACAGGTGTGTGCTTTTCCAAATCATGTCCAATCAATTGCATTTACCACAGGTGGACTAATCAAGTTGTAGAAACATCTCAAGTATGATCAATGGAAACAGGATGCGCCTGAGCTAAATGTTGAGTCTCATATCAAAGAGTCTGAATACTTATGTAAATAAGGTAGTTCTGTTTTTATTTTTAATACATTTGCAAACATTTCTAAAAACCTGTTTTTGCTTTTTCATTATGGGGTATTGTGTGTAGATTGATGAGGAAATATTGTTTTCTCTTCCAGCCACCATTCTGTCCTGTGGATGGATCATCTACCTTACCTACTACAACTCCCGCAACATCGGCCTCATCTTAACCCTCATCATCAACAGACTCTGCAAGAATGGCTACATTCACATCGGTGAGTGCAAACAATGAAATGAAGCTTGCAGACGTGATGATGAACCTTGCCTGAGACTTGTAGACGCAGACTTGGCTCCCAGTTGCCCTATTTATGGAATTCAGTGTGAATAATCTGTTAGCGTGTCTGAAACTCACTGTCTGTCCTTTCTCCACAGGCTCCTTCTCTTTCTCGGTGCTGTCGGGGAAGGTCATGTTCAGGGATGTGTACTTCATCAACGAAGACATGTCCATTAGGTGCTTACTTTTACACTATTATATTGTGTTATGTTTTTTATTCTACTCTCTATACAATACATGCTTATATTCTAATACTATTTTATTATACTTTTAATTTATTTTGTGTTACAGAATACAAGATGGTTTCCTTATATTCCGTTGGTGGAAAATGTATAACCCTAAGCAGAAACAGCATGGTGAGTGGACTGTAGGGGAGACATTATGGTTTGGATTTGGAAATGGGTAACAAGTCTATAGGTGTCGGTTTGGCGGGAGGCCGCAGGAAACTCAAATAGCTTGTACTCAGGAGTAGTCTTCTCCATGTTTCTTGACCATCAGGTCAAAGTTACAGACGACCTTGTTCTTGTCTTCTCCAGACCCCAAGGCTGAGACCAGGCTCTACGTGACCGTTAATGGATTTGAGTTCCACGTTTACAACCGGACAGACCTCTATGCACGGCTAGAGGAGACCTTCGGGTTGGACCCCACCCTCATACCGACCAAAAATGACGAGGAGAGAGAAAGAGAGGAACGAGAAAAGAGCCTGGACAGTGTTAACATCAAAGCAGAGACTCCAGACCCGTCGTCATCTTGGAGATCCCTCATCCCCGTCATCAAAGTCAACATCAGCACTGTCAGTTGCTTTTAGTTTAACTACATATGAGACATCACTCCCACACACACTAGTCAATAGTTAAGTTCTATGAACGTGCACATGTATAATTCTCATCATTACCTCATTGTGTGTATTTCTCCAGGGTCGCTTGGCATTCGGGAACCACCACCTCCCCCAGACGATATGTGTGAACTTTGAGGATGCCTTCCTAACTTATGCCACCAAGCCCCCCTCCAGCCACCTAGACCAGTACATGCACATTGTCAAGGGCTCTCTGGAGAATGTCCGCGTCATGCTAGTACCCAGCCCACGCTACCTGGGCATGCAGAACGATGAGTGAGTTGACCTTTGACCTTAGGCCTAATCCCGAACAGTTAACCCCTGACCCCAATACACGGGCATGCAAAACGAGAAGTGTTTAACATCTTAGGAACCACATTAATAATGGTATAGCAGTCTTCTGAGATTCTGTGTTCTCCTCTATAGGCCACCCAGACTGATGGGAGAAGGGTTTGTGGTCATGCAGTCCAATGATGTGGACATCTACTATTACCAGGATGAACCAGGTACGACCATATTATGTAGAACTCTGGTCATGATGACTCGTTTAAGATATGGGTGTATTGGCACTGTTTCTATATGGATTTGGGTTTGACATGGTTTTATGAATGTTCTTATGTTTAGGTATGACTATTTATGTTTGACTGTGTGTGTGTTATCAGGCCTGGTCCCAGAGGAGCAAGAGAGTGGGGATCCAGAGCTATGTGGAGAAGGAACCAAACTGCAGGATCTGCCTCCCTGCTGGGGTCTGGACATTGTCTGTGGGAAAGGAACTGACTTCAACTACGGGCCCTGGGCGGACAGGCAGAGGTACGTACACACACACAATACTACTATACATAATACATCATTCGCTGTTCACCAGAGACCATAACAATAGAATGACTAAGGTTTATATTTCTGTATGCAGGGATTGCCTGTGGAAGTTCTTCCTCCCGGCAGACTACCAGTCCATGGGTGTTACGGAGGTAGCTCAGCCTGGCAAACCCAGACAGATTCTGGCCTTTGAACTCCGCATGAACATCATCGCAGACGCCACCATAGACCTGCTCTTCACCAAAAACAGGGTACCAGGAGAGCAGGCTTCTCACCCTGTCTCTGTTTCTCTCCTCTTCTATTCTGTCTCTTATTTTGTTAAAAGCTCCATGTATTAGATCATTGTTAGAATCCATTTCACAATGTGATCATGTGTTTCTTTCTATGTGCTCTTGATTTTTCTGCTCTTAGGAAACCAATGCCATCCATGTGAATGTCGGAGCAGGCTCTTATCTGGAAGTGAACATCCCCATGACTGTGGGGGAGACTGGTGAGTGGGACAGTGAGAAAGAACTGAGGTTAGAAGAAAGTGGATGTCTTTAAGTCTATGGTTACAGGGTAAGACGGAGGTGCGATGCCATGAAATCATGCAGTAATCATGACTCACTCAATATTACCATCACCAAACTTGGACTGTGAGCATTCATTTTATCCTCTCTCCCCAGGCTACTCTCCCACCATCAAAGGCCAGCTGCTCCATGTTGACACCACCACCAGCATGCAGTACAGGACTCTGCTGGAGGCTGAGATGCTGGCTGTAAGTACAGCACAGTAGGAATCTGCAGGGGTACTATTCAGCCACAAGCCATATCCAGAGTTTCCAATACATGTTTCTTACTGAGTGATTGAATTAAAACAACTGTGTACAAGTTAATTACCAAGCCCTTGATGAGTTGAATCAGGTTAGTGCACCTCCTTGTGAACTTGAAAGCGTGTTAACATGATTGTTGCCTCTCTCTCTTCTGCCCTTAGTTCCATGTGATTGCCAGCTATCCCAGTGTGTGGAACATGCCCCAGTCCTGGAACTGTGAGATAGAGGTGTACAAGGCCACCTATCACTTCATTTATGCCCAGAAGAACTTCTTCACAGGTAAGACCTTCTCTCAATCTGTCTATAGGGCGATTCCACGCCAGCTTAGTACGAAAATATTTGTGGTATCTGAGATTTTTCGGGCAATTCTCACATAGTTACTTCATTGGGAGCAAGGATGTTTGACATGCTTTTTACATTTGTATCACTAAGTGGCCATTTTACACTTTTTTTAGACCTATACATGCCTCCTGTACGACCCTGTGATCTGTGAACCGTACATGATACAGACAACATCTTGGTGTCATTGTTCTCTCAAATATGGAGTATGTCTAGATTCTGAAATACAAATTTTCTCTGGTACTTTTAAAGGGACATTTCACCACTGCTCTATTTCACTATATATATGTCCATTAATATGTATTAACATATCATATGTGTAATAAACACATATAGAATTTCCTCACTACACGCAAATACGATCGTTTTTGCATCTCACCGGTAGAAACGGGCCAGCTACATTGTTTGGTTGTAAGCAAACCACAATATCCAGAATTCCTAGCGATTTCAGGATGTCCAGGACCGCACCGTGGAGGTGTGAGAAAGATGAAATGTCTGTTTGTAGCCAGCACTTTCAGCCAGAGGATTTCTTACGGAACTGAAGTCTCAACTGATGGGGTTGCCATGTCGTCGACGTTGAAAAGTGATCCTATTCTATCGATTTTCATCTTCACTTCAAAAGAGGGAGCTATGCAAACAGAAGTCAAGCTGAGGTAACGTAGCTAACGTTAACGTTACCTAGCTACCTAGTTAGCGAACAAAAGTGTTTATCTAAACCAAAATATAGCTAGCTAGCTATCATAATACGCTGGCTAGATATTCCAAAGCATATCAATGTAATTAGGCAACTGCTATCTGCCAATGTGATTTAACTTTGCAAGCTAAAGTTAGCTTCCTTAGGTTATGTAAGCTAACCGTTATCTAGATAACTAACTACTGCAGAGGCTGAAGTGAATGTGTTCTATTTAGAGAATCCGATCCCATCAACATCTGCATAGGTATCAACATCAAGCTCAGCACCAGGAACTAGTGTAAGTCTCCTAAAATCTAACTTAAATCTTTCCATGACTCCATGATGAGCAAATAAATATACTGGAGCTAGGCATAAACATGGTCTGTGTCTTGTTGTCATAGTTGGTGGGTTTACAAGTACGCTACAACTTCTACTGTAGTTCTCTGTATTATGGAGGCTTATTTGATTGTTCATGCAAGGCGTGAAGTCTAAATTTGAGAAAAGGAGGTATTAGTATGGAGGGGATGGTGTGGGTGACTGACTGGTGTCTGTTGGTGGTGGGTATTGTGTGTGTGTGTGTGTGTGTGTGTGTGTGTGTGTGTGTGTAAAGGTTAGTATGCATGATCTATTGACATGAGGGGGGTGGGTGGATATAGTACGTTGTTTTGAGTGGGTATTGATGGGGGAAAGTAGTAAAATGTTGGCTAATCACTGACTACTGTGTGTCCTACAGACTAACCCTGCTGCTGATGACGATAACTTTACATTTACATTTTAGTCATTTAGCAGACGCTCTTATCCAGAGCAACTTACAGTTAGTGAGTGCATACATTTTCATACTGGCCCCCGTGGGAAACGAACCCACAACCCTGGCGTTGCAAGCGCCATGCTCTACCAACTGAGCTACAGGGGACTTTGACACCAGCTTTAGTAGTACAGAACCTATAGACCCATTAGATGAAAGCTTTCAGCCTGGAATAAACTCAAGATCAACATCACCTGACTTTGAAACCAGCCAGAACAGCCAAAGGTATTTATAAAAGCACAATAACCTCTTGAGAAAACAAAGTCACCAATACACTAAAATGTCTACAAGACAAGTGCTCCTCAAACTTTTCACACCCTTGCAGTCAGTTCTTTGGCATGGGGGAGAGGGGCTGTTGATATATTCTTCTAGCTTGTCTACTCAACAGCAAGGTGCTTATACACAACAAGACTGTCTACAAGTCAAGCAAAACACATACCAGTCTACTGTGCTCATATTTGTTTACAGATGAACATGGTTTATTGTATGATTACACATCCTCATGATCAGTCTTCATGTTTTACACATCCGCATGATAAGTCTTCATGTCTTTCCAGGAGACTTGCAGTACAAACAAATCTTCTGCGAGAGGTCGAAGCAAGAAGAGGTTCACCAGCTGAAGAAGATTCTGGAAACTGCCTGGAACATTCAACCAACACAACATTCATATTCAGTTAGACTGATTTTGTAGTATGATATAGAATGCCTAGTATGCTCACAACTGCATTGTGGTATAGATATTGCTAGCTGTTGTCAGTGGTGATTTTAGCATGTAAATCTTGGTGGGGCATTTTTTTAAGTTTTATGCATGCCAGCAAAGCCACTACACCAAACAATACATTAATTGCACTATAACGGTAACAAAAACGGTGCCCACAAACTCTTAGGGCCTACATAAAGCTGTCCCAACAGCAGAGCTTTCTTTTCAGCACCATGGAGTGAATCCTTACCACCGCTACACCTGGCTATCAGCGGAGCCTTGTCTGGCAGCGAAACAGTTCATTCAGCCTCATTTACTGCCTTTTTAAAAACCTTAGCTGATATGGCTGACTTGCTTAGACAAATGTGGTTACTACTGACTCCTTGTGGATTTGTGTAAGTCGATAAGAACCACATTCTCCTTCAATAATAACGAACGCCAAAATGGGATTTGACTTTTGAACCATACACAAACATTATTACATTTATGTTCAGTAAATTCATGTTTATTCTTATGTCATTAACACTTAGCTCTAAGTATAAGCAAGTGCAAGCAAACGAGCTGCGAGGAGGTAGAACTATCCGTTCATCACTTTTCAGATAAACAGCAAGATGTTGAGGCTTTAACTTCACTCTTCTTTAAGGAGCGAAAGCGAGACACACTCGGTTAGCCTACCATTTGAAGAATTGTATTAGTCCTATGTGGTCTAAAAAGGAAGGAAAATACAATAAAGAGGATCCACTTTTATATACAACTTACCGACGCACAGACAGCGCATTGCACAAACCAAACAACACTCGCAATATCAACTGGAATTACATGGGTCTATTACTGAACTTTTTGTTGAAAACAAATATTTGAATGGGAATAGACTGTCACTGGCAAACATGGTTGCAGTCCCAACAACATGATATAGTATCTCCTCCTCGTCAAGAAAAGCACATGAGCTAATTATAATACACAAAGTAAGAAAAACAATGAAATAATTCCAACATTGCCTAAAATGATGAATAAGATACTAATGAGATAGACCTATATAAGCAATAGGCCTATAACAATTGAGATGCACAAACTATGGCATAAGGGGATGATGAGTGGATTAAGATAATAATGAGCGAGCCAAGATGGACATAGTCAATATAACTTTGTTCAGCACTTTTGAAATGTACAGCGACAGTCAGCATTTCAAGGGCCTGGAGTGGCCTAGCCAGTCTCCAGATCTCAACCCCATAGAAAATCTTTGGAGGGAGTTGAAAGTCCGTGTTGCCCAGCGACAGCCCCAAAACATCACTGCTCTAGAGGAGATCTGTATGGAGGAATGTACCTATGACGGAAATTACAGGCCTCTCTCATCTTTTTAAGTGGGAGAACTTGCACAATTGGTGGCTGACTAAATACTTTTTTCCCCCACTGTATCTCCCTGGCATATTACACAATGTATACAATACATTTTTGGACTCACTGTTGTGCTGTGCTCACTTGAACAGGAAGTTGGCGGTCCTTGTGGGCATATTTTGTCATCAAACTTTTTAATCTATGTCTGGCATTCTCTGGATTTATGGTGCTTTCAAGACAACTCGGAACTCTGGAAAAAAACAAAGTCAAATCATGACGTCAGTTATCTTCAGGTCAGAGCTCTAGAAAGAGACCCGAATTCCCAACTTGGAATTCCGAGTTGGTTGACCGTTCAAAACTTATTTTCCCAGTCGGAGCTAGTTCTTTTCCGAGTTCCCAGATGTCTTGAACGCAGCAGAAGTCATGCTGGATTGACAGCATGGCAAATGTATTCAACCTTTTCTGTCCCATGGTGTTGCGTGTGAATGTTTATCCTTTTAAGCTTGGAAAAGAGACCCTTTCAGACAGATGTTTTAAATCCTTAAACCCAGACTTGGAGCACACACCCTCTCCACCGAATAGCAGGCAGGGGAAGCAAAATAGTGATTGCTTTGCAACGCTTGCAGTTAGCCACTTATTCCTTCCAAACCACTCATTGTTGAATTTGCGATTTCTGACTTGTTTATGTCCAATGACCGATGAGCACCGATACGTTTTATCTATAATTTATCTTCATATGACAAGGATTGAAAAGGATTTTCCAGTAGATTGTCGACGTGATTCTTGATGATGACTGCTTGCTAGCTAAGATTTTGAATGTATGATGTTGACATGATCTGTCCAATCAAATCTACGGTAGATATAACTTGATTTGATGTCATTTTATCTGTGGTCAATGACCTTGAGCCTTCTTGGATGGGTACTTCCAATGTAAATCTATGGCAGCACCCAAGGGGGCTTGAACTGCCTAGCTCTCCCTGTAGATTATGTGGTGACGTAGTGCCCCCATGAGTGACAGAACACTGAGCCAATCACGGCAGAACTAGAGAAGATTACCAACGCCTATGCTCTGTATTTTCCGCTAGCTGCCCCTCCACCACAGAAAGCACTGAGCTAGGCTGAAACACCTGCATTTTGGAGCTGCCTTACTCAAGAAAGCAAGGAATAGACCATGTTTGTATGCAGCTTTATTCACTCAATAAATGAGTTTTTACATTGTTTGCAAACTGATATGTACAGTGCATTCGGAAAGTATTCAGACCCGTTGACTTTTTCCAGATTTTGTTACGTTACAGCCTATTCTAAAATGTATTACATTGTCCCCCCCATCAATCTACACACAATACCCATTATATTAAAGCAAAAACCGTTTTTT